AACAGCTGCTCGTTCCATGTGCGGGCGACGCTGGGGGCGGCAAGGACGGCGCGCCCCTGCACGGCTGCATACACTAGAACGCCAAACAGAGCGCAGCGGAGGAGGCGCATCGTCAGAGGCGGTGAAAGCCGCGCTACTCAAGTTGCTGGGAACGCACGGAAAAGACCAGCGGCGCCGACGAGGCGACTCCCACGAAGCACCGCACCGACTACGAAGCAACGAACCCCGGAATGACGACGTTCCCCCGAGCGGGGACGCCCAGATAGCCAAACGAGCAGACAAGATAAGAAGCTGCCCACTACTCTAGATCGAACGCCTCGACCCTTCAAGCAAATGGGGGCCCCGCCCTTGGGCGTCCGAGCCGACCGGCCGACTCTGGTGCGGAATGTCAGCGCGCCAGCCCGATAGAAATGGGCTTTCCCCTCGTTCATGGCTTAGATCACGGCGGCGCCGGACATCTAACTGATGGCCCTTCGTGCCGTCGGGGCTCTCGTGGACAATCGCCCCTCAGGCGGGTCCTCGTCGTTGTACGACGAGGCGATGACCGCTCCCGCTAAGCCACTCTTCACGATATCCCAGCTCAATGGATCGACTCTTCTTCCAGGCCCGGTTCGGAGCCGTGCTCCTTGCCGGCCTCCTGACCGCAAAAAATGGTTGCGCGGAGACAGCGCTTGTCGAAGCCCTCCCCGGAGCGACCATCCGGCCCGAGCTAGCGCCCTCGCTGACGCCGGTCGTCGCGCTCGAAGCGGGGTGGCGGAATCCCCCGACGATGGCCCGCACCCGCTGCTGGTGGTGGTGGCTCAATGGCAACGTCACCCGGGCGAGCATCACCCGCGACCTTGAAGAGATGAAACGCCAGGGGCTCGGCGGGGCGAACATCATCGACGCCGGCGGCGCCGAACAGCGCGGCAACCACCAAGTCCCGCACGGGCCCGACTTCGGCTCGCCGGAGTGGCAAGAGCTATTCGTCCACGCGCTGCGCGAAGCGGACCGGCTCGGTCTCGAGCTAGGGTTCAACATCCAGAGCGGCTGGAACCTGGGCGGCCCACGGGTGCCGGCCGAGGACGCGGCCAAAAAGCTGACGTGGTCGGAGGTCACCGTCCGCGGCGGCGCCAAGCAATCGACCTCGCTCGCGCAGCCGGCTGCCGTCGGCGGATACTACCGCGACGTGGCGGTGCTCGCCCTGCCCATCGCGACCGAACGCGCGGACCAGCTGGCGATCGCCGTGAAAGTCGACTCTGCCCAGCCGGGGCACGCCGCGTCGCTGATCCTCGATGGGAACCCCGACACCTTCTGGGTGTCCGGCAGCTACGAACGCGGCGAGGGGCCGGACGTGTCGCAGCCGCACCGCGTCGAATTCGACTTCGCGGCGCCGACAGAGGTCTCGCGGGTGGTGATCCATCCCCGCGACGGCTACGGGCCGAAGCGCGGCTGGCTGCAAGCGAGCGACCGGCCGCGGCATTGGCGGCTGGTGAGCCAGTGGCGGGCCGAGTCGGGCGATAAGCCCGTCGTCATCGATTTCGAACCAACGGCCGCCCGGCGTTTGCGGCTGATCATCGCCGAGGCGTTCGACCCCCGCAGCCCCGCGGCGCCGCGCAACGTGCAGGTGGCGGAGGTCGAGTTCTTCAACGGCGACAAGGCGCTCCACCGTGCGAACTCGGGCCTCGCGCGCATCGAGAACTTCCGCCAGAAGGCGTACCACGATTACCCCGGCGCTTTCACGGCGACCAAGGCGGACCACCTGCTGCGCGTCGGCGAAGGGGACCCGGCCGAGCGGACCGTCGCGCTCGACGAAGCGATCAACCTCACGGACCGACTCGACTCAGACGGCGAGCTCGACTGGGAGGCGCCGCCGGGGCTCTGGGCCGTGGTGCGAATGGGCTACACGCTCGCCGGGTCGCGGGTCTCGACGCACAGCGAGGGCTGGGACGGCTGGGCCATCGACTACCTCGACCGCGACGCCTTCGTCGCTTACTGGGACGACGTGATCGAGCCCCTGCTCGAAGCGGCCGGTCCGAGCGTCGGCAATTCACTGCGCTACCTGCACACCGACAGTTGGGAACTGGGCCCGGTGAACTGGACGCCGCGGCTGGAGGCCGAGTTCACGAAGCGACGCGGCTACGACCCGCGGCCCTACTTGCCAGCGCTGGCGGGCTATGTCGTCGGCGACCGCGAGACGTCCAACCGCTTCCTCAACGACTTCCGGCGGACGCTTGCCGACCTGATTGCGGCCGGCAAGTACGCGACGTTCCGAGAGTTCGCCCACGCCAAGGGGCTCGGCGTCCACCCCGAGTCGGGCGGCCCGCACGCCGCGCCGATCGACGCGTTGCAATGCCTGGGGCGTAACGACATCGCGATGGGCGAGTTCTGGGCGCGCTCGCGCACGCACCGGGTGAACGATTACGAACGGCTGTTCGTGATGCAGTCGGCGTCGGCGGCGCACACCTATGGCCGGCGCGTGGTGCTCGCCGAGGCGTTCACCTCGATCGGCCCGCAATGGGAAGAGTCGCCCGCGGTGCTCAAGCCGGTCTTCGACCGTGTCGCTTGCGAGGGATTGAACCTCGTGATGCTTCACACGTTCGCCGCGTCGCCAGCAGAGGCGGGGCTGCCCGGTCAAGCTTACTTCGCCGGCACGCACGTCAACCCGAATGTCACTTGGTGGGACAAGGCGGACGCCTTCTTCGGTTACCTCAACCGCTGCCAGTTCCTCTTGCAGCAGGGCCTGCCGGTCGCCGATGTGCTGCACTTCTATGGCGAGAACGTCCCGGGCTTTGTGCGGCTGAAGAACGACTTCCCCGCCGGCGACGTCACCGGCTACGGCTACGACGTGATCAACGCCGAGGCGCTCGTGGGCCGCGTGTCGGTCGCTGATGGCAGGCTTGTGCTGCCCGAGGGAACGTCGTACCGCGTCCTATCGCTCCCGCCGGGAAGGACCTACGGGCTTGCGGCGCTGCGGAAGATCGCCGAACTCGCCGACGCCGGCGCAACCATCGCCGGCCCACGGCCCGAAGCGGCGATCGGGCTGCTGAGCGAAGCGGACCAGCGTGAGTTCGATCGCCTCGTCGCGAAGCTGTGGGACGACACGGGAGCGGTCAGCGACACGACGCCGCGCGAGGTGCTCGCGGAAACGCCCGCCGACTTCGACTTCACGCTCGCTGACGGCGCGGCGAAGGCCGATGAGCGTGGCGACCCGGTGCTCGATTACTTCCATCGCCGCACGGACGGCGCCGAGGTCTACTTCCTCGCCAATCGGACGGCCGAGCCCGTGACGGCGGAGTGTGAGTTCCGCGTCGCCGGCGCCGCGCCCGCGATTTGGGACCCGGTGACCGGTGACAGGGCGGCGGCAAAGTCGTACGCGATCGGCGAGCAAACAACCCGCGTGCCGCTGACGCTGGCGCCGGAGCAAGCGTTGTTCGTTGTCTTCCAGGGCGACCGCGCTGAGACGCTATCGCGCAACGACGGCCCGAACCTGCCGGTTGCCGAGTTGGCGGAGGAGCTAACCATGCCGTGGTCGATTCAATTCGACGCCAAGCGAGGCGGCCCCGCCGAGCCAGTAGCGATGGAAACGCTCAGCGACTGGTCGCAGTCGGACGACCCCGCCGTCCGCCATTACAGCGGCACGGCGACCTACACGGCCGAGTGGACGCCCACGGACGAGACGCGGAAGGCGGCGGAGAGCGGGCGGGTATGGATCGACCTAGGCGACGTGAAGAACGTCGCGTCGGTGCGACTCAATGGCGAGGAGCAGGGCGTCGCCTGGACGCCGCCCTACCGTGTCGAGTTACATGGCCCGCTGCAAGCTGATAACCATCTGGAGATCGAGGTCGTGAACCTCTGGCCCAACCGGCTGATCGGCGACGCGGCCCTGCCCGAGCCGGAGCGGATCACCCGGACCAATATCACGAAGTTCCAGGCCGACACGCCGCTGCTGCCGTCGGGGCTCTTGGGACCGGTTCAAGTGCTGACCGAGGCGCCCGTTGCCCGATAACGCCCTGTCGTAATTTATTTGGGATTCTCATCAAGTTCGTGGCTAAGGAAGCGGCCCGCAGCGGACATTCCCTCAACGTCGGCCCGTTTCCTCATCCATTCTCCTGCCCGCTGGGCGTCTCACAACCGCGGCAATCGTAGGCGGAGGCAGCATGGTGAACCCGGTGGGATTGGGGAGCGACGAAGACCGGCGCAACCGGTTCGCGCTGCTGCTCAGCGAGAATCAGGGGCGGCTGTTCGGCTTCCTGTACTCGCACGTGCTGAACATGGCGGACGCCGAGGACCTGTACCAGCAGGTGGCGATGCTGCTGTGGACCAAGTTTGACCAGTTCGACCATCTCGATCCGGGCAGCGACTTCGGCGCGTGGGGGATGCGGGTCGCCGACTTTACGATCAAGAACTTCCTCCGCGGCAAACGCCGCAGCAAGGTCTGCTTTAGCGACGAAGTGATGCAGCGAATCGTTGAATGCCACCTGTCCTCGCCCGCCACGGTTGTCGCCCGTCGCGCCGAGGCCCTGCGTGGTTGCCTGACAAAGCTGCGTCAGCCCGACCGGACTCTGCTCGAGAAGTGCTACGGCTCTGACACGCCGATCAAGGACGTCGCAGAGGCCGAAGGACGCTCGGCCGGCGCCTTGTACACGACGCTCAACCGGATCCGGCGGGTGTTGCTGGCTTGTATCGAACGGACTCTCAAAGCCGAGGCCACGCTGTGAAGAACGACCGTGTTACCAACGACGCGGCCGACCTCGATCGCCTGCACACGCTCATGGACGCCGCCATGAGCGAAGCGATCACCGACGCCGAACGTATAGAGCTCGAGTCGCTGCTGCTCACGAGTGACGCGGCGCTGGCCGCCTTCGTAAAGNNACAGCGCTGCACTTCGAGGTGCGTTCGGCCGCGGCCGCTCGGCGGGTCGACGCCGCGATCGCTCAGATGACCACGCCCCACACGTCCGAGGGGGCCGCCGATCGGCGTCGGCGATTTCGCGGAGGAGCCTCCCTCGCCGTCGCCGCCACACTGCTGATCGCGGCGGGTTGGTGGCTGGCCAACGGACGCCTCGCCATCGAAGCGGACCGCCAGCCGAAGCCCGTCGCCCGACTGGAGTCGATCGACGGCGCCGTCTGGCTCGGTGACGAGTACCCGGTCGGCCATCGCTTTGTCGAAGGGGACTCGATCTACCTGTCGCAGGGCGCTGCGCGGATCAGCCTCGCCAGCGGGGTTGAGGTCGCGCTCCGGGCGCCGTGTTTCGTGTCGCTCGACAACGACATGCACGTCCGGCTCGCCGAGGGGGTCGTCACCGCCCAGGTCGCCGAGTGGGCCCACGGCTTCACCATCGCGACGGATTCACTACGAGTGGTTGACCTAGGGACGAAGTTCGCCGTTTCGGCCGACAACCGGGGCTCGACCGAGGCCCACGTCCTCGACGGCCAAGTCCGCGTCCACTCGCCCTCGGCGCCGGTTTCGTCCCGCCAAAGCGTGCTGCTGTCGAAGGGCGAGGCGTTGCGGTTCCAAGGAGCGAGCAAGGTCGCCACGCGGCTAGCGGCGGACCTCGAGCGGTTTGACGCCGACCTCAACGATGTCGCCCCTTACAAGCCAATCCCGTTGTTCAACACGGGCCGCGGGCTCGAAGAGGGCGACGAAGACCCGCACTGGCGGGTCGTCGCGGGGCCCAACTGCCCGCAGTTCTCGGGCCCTCAGTTCGCCGTCGTTTGCAACGCCGACGACCGCTACCTGTCGAACGACCGTGAGCACTCGCAGTGGGTGTCGTTGGTGAACCCGGTGCGGCCTGGGCTGCCTCCCAATGCGACCTTTACGTACCAGACCGAGTTCGACCTGACGGGTTACGACCTGCGGTCGGTGGTGATCGTCGCCCAGGTAATCGCGGACAACGGCGTCCGCTCCGTACGAATCAATGGCGAAGAAGTCCCGGTCGAGTCGTGGATGCTCAACGACGAGGACCAAGTCTTCAACCGCTTCCACGTCATCGAGATCGCTCAAGGCTTTCGCGATGGCGTTAACTTGATCGAGTTCGACATCTGGAACGGCGTGGACCGCACCGCGCCCAGTGCGCCGAACCCGCTGGCGCTGCGCGTCGAGTGGCAGGCGTTCGGTCGGCTCGGCGTTGGATCGATGGTCGGCGCTGCTGTTGCGATGCCGCCTACCGACGACGCCGCTGCCGCAAGCAAGGGATAGCCGAGTACCAACAACGACCGCGCCACGTTCGGCGCGCCTTTTCAATTGCCCGACGCCCACGCATCGGGGCCTATTCACAACGACAGCTTTTCCAACGTACCGGCCCAGGCGGCCATCCCCCACTCGCCGCGCAGTCGCTCACACCTGCGCGACACTGCGAAGAATCACGACCCCACCCCCCATCGAGACCGGCGCCCCGCCCGAGCGGTCGGCGTCGAGACGAACTTAGGAGCCACCCCTCATGACATCCTTCTTTTCAACGAAGACGTTGCTGGTTCAAGCCGCTCTAGTCACTTGTGCTTGCACGTTCTTGAACGGACGCGTCGAAGCCGGACCGCTGGGATTGATCGACAACTTCAGCGGCGACCTCTCGGCCTACACCGCGACACGCATCCTCAAGGCGACGCCTGCGGCCAATGACAATGTCGGCCAGTGGGAGATCGCGGGCGGCGCCCTGCAGTTCAACACCACGACCTACGCAGGCATTGAACAGTACGCGCTGACCCGCACGGATTTCACGCTGCAACTGGGCGAGGAGCTACGCGTCGATTACCTCGGGAGCAACCTCGACTCGCAAGATATCGGCCTCTATGTCGGCGCCGGTACGCCGACCTCTGACGTCCGCGCCGACTACGTCAACATCTACGCGCGGAACAACGGCCAGGTTTTCTCGCGCGGGTTTGATGGGACTACCGAGCTCAGCCTGTCCGGTGGCGCGACGCCGACCGGTTTGGAGAGCCTGTACATCACACGGCTGACGAGCGACACGTTCGAGCTCGGCTACTACTCCGACGGCGGCAACCGCAACCTGATGGCCACGCGGACGATCAGCGACGGCAACTCGGCGGGCATCGGTAGTTCCGTCGGTTTTTACGCCGACATCCGCGGAGCTGGCATCCGCGGCAGCGTGGACAATCTACGGATTGTTCCCGCCCCCGTCGCCGGCGACGTCAACGGCGTTGTCGATGGAGTGGACTTTGGCTTTATCCGCGACAACCTCTTCATTACGCCCGCGACGCGCACCGAGGGCGACCTGACCGGTGACAACATCGTTGACTTCGCCGACTACCGCGAGTGGAAGGACAACGCCGGCGCGCTGGCGAGCCTGTACTCGCTGTCGGCAGTGCCCGAGCCGACGGCGTTGGCGCTGGCGTTCCTGGCGGCGGGAGTAGCGGCTTCGCGGCGGCGTGTCTGAAGCGAGACACGTAGCGCAGCGGCTGCTCAATCACTCTCTCCCCAACCGGCAAGACACCAACGAACAAAGGCGCACACGCCATGAAGAACACCCTCCTAGCGGCGGCCATCGCGACGCTGTTGGCCTGCGGCCAATCGGCGATCGCGCAGCCCGGCTCCGCCTTCCTCGCCATCTGGAACGCCGGTAGCGGCGGTTCTGGAACCGGCAATTGGAACGACTCCGCCAACTGGGCGCCGATGTCGGTCCCCAGTATCGACTTCGATGACTTCGCTGTCATCAACGGCGGCGGCACGGCGACGATCTCGTCATCGGTCCCCGACGCCGGCGGCGCGTACCTCGGGCAGAACGCCGGCCAGTCGGGGACGATCAGCATCGTCCCGGGCGGCGCAATCAACTTTGTCGCAGCGCCGGCCTTCGACGCGGACGGCGGCGTCCGCATCGGATCGGGCGGCACGGGCACGCTCGTGATGACGGGAGGCGCCATGTCGGCGGCGTCGCTGACATCCGGCGGAGAAGCCGGAAGCCTTATCGATCTCTCCGGGTCGCCGTCGGTCAACGTTGGCTCGGCGTCACTGGCACGCACCACCCAAATCACCGGGTCGGGCGTGAACTTCTCCACCACAGGGACGTTCACCCTCACCGGCACGCATAGCTTGGTGCAGAACCTTTCAAGCGGCTCGGCCTCAACAATCAATGTCGGTTCCACGGCCGCGATTGGTGGTGCGTTGAACGTCAACTTCTCTGGGTACACGCCAACAATCACCGACTCATGGGACCTCATCTCGGCGTCCAACATCACCGGGGTGTTCGGCTCGATCACCTCGTCCGGGGTTGCCCTCGGAGCGGGACAGGCCTTCAACGTGCGGACTGTCGATGACGGCGCCGACAAGGTCCTTCAACTCTTCCTCGAACAACAACTGGTGCTGGATGTGAACCGCGACACGGGCGTCGTGTCGATCACCAATCCGGGCACGTCGGCGGTGCTGCTCGACGGTTACTCCGTCCGCTCACCGAGCGGTCTCCTCAACCAAGGAGCGTGGAACCCGCTGGCGACGCAA